TTTAATACATTTTTTTATTTTAATTCCAGAATTTGTGGTGGAAATTTTCAAAATTCCCTTGCAAAATTCGTAGCCTTTTGCGAGGGAAAATCAAAATGTTTCCTTGCAAAATTCGTAGCATTTTGCGAGGGAAAATCAAAATGTTCCCTTGCAAATTTTGCAACGGAAATTTAATACACCCCTTGCAAATTCTGCTACGGAAATTTGCGGGGGAAATTATACTCGAAATTTCCGTCACAATCTGCGAGGGAAAAACACTGTAGGTAGGTCTGTTGTTAGCGAGGGAAATTTACTTTTTTGCAAGGGAACTTTTCCGTAGCAATTTGCGAGGGAATTGTCATATGACAAATTTCCCTTGCAAATGTATTTGCGACGAGGGTTTTAGCGAGGGACCGTGTTCCCTCGCAAATTCCGTTGCTGACAGGTTTTGCAAGGAAATTTTGTTGTTTTGCAAGGGAATTTTTCCCTTTCTGATTGTGAATTTTCTAGTAATGTTCATTGGCCCATTCTGTCTCGTCGGGATTCATACCAACACACCAATAAACAATAGCAGTCACTTTCACTCATCCATTCTCTCTCTATCTGTGTTTTTCTCTCTGCAGAATTTCCCAAATTTCTCCTCTATCCTATCTCCTCTGCTCCTGAAACACGCACATTCATCATCAGCAATGCACGATCTTCCGTACGAATGCAATTTTGATATTTGATTTGAGTAATTTCTTTTCAGCGGCTGAATTGGAAATGCATGAAACAATGGAAAGTTCCGTCAATGGTGGCTTCTCCCAGTTGCAGAGCTGAGGAGATAGCAACGCATATGAGCTCTCTGTGCTCCCTCGACATACATAACCGTTTATTTTTTGGCTAGGATTATCTTCCTCACATGTTGTTAAGAGGAGGGGTAAATTTGTCACATTTTTCATCCCATTTTCAATTTGTCCGGTATTCACAATAATACCATCATCTGAGAGGGTTTCTGAAACAGTGAAAAACTCAATTTTTACACGCATATGTCGATAGTTGGGGAAGCAGGTTTGATGGAGAAATTTCAGGATATCCCTCAACCAAACATGGAGAAATGAGATACCCACATGCACTTTGCTGGATAGTGAGGAGAAGTCTCGAACCAAACACGACCTTACTTCTTAATGTTTGATGTTGAATGCCTCGGCGATGAAGTCCAAGAAAACAAGTCTGGATATTTAATAAATAAAAAATCATGTTTTCATAGAAAGACACATTTTATTTATTTATTTTTCATAAACCACAAGTATCCTCCACAAGAGGCAATCCTGTTCGGGATGGTTCAAGATTAAAATTTTAAACCCCTGCAGAGACACATTTAATTTTAGAACATATTTGTTACAGTTATTTTTATTATTTTATTATTTTATGAATTGTTGGGTTTTTTAAGTAGTGGGTAGTTATTTTATTTATTTTGTTATTTGAATTTCAACTTTGTTAAATGATAGGTGATAGTTATTAGTGGAGCCTATTTAATGTTAGTGGGTAGTTGCTTTTGTAGTTGATTTGTATTATCTATTTAAACCTTGAAATATTTGAATAAAGATCATCGTATAAGAAGAATTATTTTGTGCATTTGTTTATGTGCTTAAGACAAAATTCCCTCATTTAAACTCAAATCCCCTATTTTCTCCACACACAAAAATAGGTGTACGTAACATCTTGGCATCAGAGCTAGGCACTAAGCATGGAGAAACAGTTAGAAAAACTAAAAGATCACCAAACTCTCCAATCGGCTAGGTGCTCTAGTACCAACCACCAAACTCTCTCATTTTTATTATTCTTATTTCATTCCTAAGGTTTTCACACCCAAACATTTGTTTCTTTCTCTCTCCATCAAACGAGTAACCCCCTTAACACTACCATTCCTATTAGAAATTTAAATGAGGTCAAGGTGTCTCAATTAAATAAGACTCATCAACCAAGACCTAAAATTTTTGGTCCAATGAGAAATTATTTCTACAATTCTTTGAGAAGAGGAAAGAAAGAGTTGTGGCTAGAGGATATTTTCCGATCAACAGTAATGGAGAGGCGGATATGAATATTGAAGATGATTTAGTTACTTGAAGTTGATTTTACTCTTGAGGACAAGAGTACACTTTTAGGAGGGGGGAGGAATGTTATTTTTATTATTTTCTGAATTATTGTGTTTTTTAAGTAGAGGATAGTGATGGTTATTAGTGAAGCCTATTTGATATTAGTAGGTTGTTGCTTTTATAATTGGCTTGTATTATCTATTTAAACTTTGAAATATTTGAATAAAAATCATCATAAGAAGAAATATATATTTTGTGCACTTGTTTCTGTGTTTGAAGTAAGGTTCTCTCCGTTGAACTAAAATCCCTGATATACGTAACAGTATTATGCAATATTCGAATTCTTTGGCATTTCAAATGCTTTATAAGCTTTTTACTCTCCACCTTGAACTAATATCCGAATTATCAAATAAGCTAGAGTCTCATTCAAATACTAGGAATTTGATATAAAGTTTTTACGTCCCGAACCAATTCAACCGAAGATTTTAAATTATTAAATAAAGATTAATTAATAATTTTTATATTATATTTTTCTAATAACCTCTTATTCAAACATAAGAGACATTGATATTCAAGAGCTAAATGGCACCCTAACGACATATTCATTTTATGAGGGTGACCACTGCGGATGAATGAAGCAAATTTGAATTATTTAAGCATTTTTCCCATGAGCGACAGGTGCATATGGGCGACGGAGGATGATGAGTGGTTAGCGGTGGTGGTCGCTGATCGCGGCCTGGGACGATGATGGGTAGGCGAGGATGAGATCAATCAAGTCTAGGAGAAAAGGTGAAGAAGTGACTCGGGGGGAAGAAATCTCATTGTGCTAATGGGTTGAAGAAAGAGATAGTTTTGTCTTAAAATTATTAAATATGATTAATTGTTATAAAATAAAAGTATAAGGAAATTAATGGTTTGAATTCAAAGTTCTAAGTGATTTGTTGAAACAACAAATAAGTATAGGAAGGTTTCATGTAATTATCCTAAAATTACAGGAAATAACAATGTGCTTACTTTGATAAATGTGCTTACTAAAATTAAGAATTTTTCATTTAAATATTTTATCCTTATATAAATTTGGCCTATTCAATTTCCCAATCCATCCATTTCATATCCCTATTAGGTGCTCTTTGGTTGGGGGTTTCTTAAAAGTTGCTCATGCAAATCAACTTGGCAATTGTGGAAGTCCTTGTTTGGTAGACGGTTTCTTAAAATTTCCCCACCTATTCAATTTGCATAGCTTTTCATATTTGGCCGTACAAATGGAGGACAAGTCACTGTTTAAAAAGACTTCTTCGACATGGTTTTCCAAAGTTAGCTGGGTATATGGCAAAAGGTGAAAGTGAACCTAGACGAAAATACCCTCACCACCGGTCATAAGCTTATCTGCAAACGCGTCTCGTCCTGCACCCAAGTCTTCACGCGCTTCTTCGGTGCCTTTATCTCAACCTCGAGATCCTCGCCGCTGCTCTCGCCGAGGATCATCGGCGGCGGTTGCTGGTGGTGCTGTGGCGGCGGCGGAAGCTCGCCGTTCGGGACCACCTCGATCATCATGTCTCGCGTCCCTTCTTCTTTGTAGAAATCGATGGGACAAGGCTTTTCTGATAAATACATGCTATCTATGCTTCCCTATTTGTGTTTGAAATCGATTTCAGGGTTTGTTTTGGATTCAATTGCAGAAGAGAAAGAGAAAGAGAAAAACAACAATTCTTGTGTTGTCTGTTGTAAAATTTGTAACTTTGTAAGAGAAGAAATATTGGGTTGGGTAACAAATTTTGAAGTGTTTTCTACTATTATCTCAGGTGAATCAAAGCCACGAGGTGAGAATTTTCTACTATTATTTATTGTGAGTGTTCAAAGACAGTAAATACGAACGAGGTTCTCTCTGTCTGGTCGCCGAGCTTAGAGGTTGCAGATGGTCACCCACGAAGCAAATCCAAATTAGAGGACGCACATCTTCGTTTGAGGACAAATGGCACACGCACTGGCCACTTGTTTTGATAATATGATATTATTAGTAGGAGTATATTTGTAAATTTATATCATTTACCTCTCAATATTTTATCCTCAACCAAACATACGTATCAAAAAATTTAATCAATTTGTCTGGTAAAATTTACCCCAAACAAACAACTTTTTTTTAACTTCCCTATTTAATTCACTTTTTCTGTAGATTCCTAGTAATTATATTTCTCCGGTGAACTCAAATTTTCACTTCAACCAAACACCACCTAAAAGAATCTAGCATGTCTTCTTATTAAAAACCAATCAAGAATTATCCAAATCAACGAATAGCATATCCCCTATAATTCTAAAAAAATAAAAATGTACCTACTCCATTTTCAATCCCCCACATATTGTAACCTGCTCCCATAACAAATTTTAGGTGAATTTTAAAATTTGTCTCACACTTACAAATATATACCAAATAGTAATTTAATATTAAGATCATCTCAATCATATCTTAAGGTTCATCTAACTAATAAATTAAAATTATTAAATATAAGTAAAATTAATAATTATAAGTTAACGTAAACTGATCAGCCCAAGTAAAATCATTATTAGTCTAATAAACGCAACTTATTTAAAACATGATCTAACAAAATGTCTCCTATTGGATAAAATAAGGCAAACTGTTTTCGGCATCAGACCCAAGTGATTCTGAGCATATCCGATCTTCCATCCACCCCAACTTCATTTTTATTAAATTATTCTTTGAGAAACTGACAACTTGTTTTTTTATAAGATCTTATAACCATATTTTAAGACCATTAAATTTCACCAATCAACGACTATTATTTTCGTAAATTAAATTTATTAATTAATTATTAATTAAGAATAAATGATAACATTAGTAAAAATCAATGGTGTTAAAATATAATGATAAGAGATTGTAAAAAAAAAAATTTACAAATATAACTTTACTCTTATTCTTTAACCATGTACCAGGAAAACTTATTATTTAACTGACAATAAAAAAGAAGGGATTTAAAATTTTACAAAATCAACCCTTCAATAATTAAGCCAAAAACAAAATTTAATTGTTCTTATTTAAAAAATCACACTATTCATCCGTTCTAATTCTAACATCTTGTACGAACAACGCCACCACCACGTCTCGCCTCCAAAACGACGTTGTCGAACCCCACTAACCTGCAACTAACGCCGTTCACTGCAGTTACAGCCACCGGCACAGGGTTTTCCTGAACCGGGTTCGCGGTTCGCCGATACGACGCGAACCACTTATTCTGCATGAACCGGTTTTTCCTCCATGGTGGGACCGGGAGCCCACTACTCCTGAAACACCGCCTTGCAGCGTCGCAGACGATCGAAACTGTGCGTTTCAATTCCTCCGATCTTCCGACGAACACGCCGGGAACTAACCTCAGGATCTCCGAAAACTGCCTCGTCGGCCGGGCAATCTCGAACTGCGCGCGAAAATCGAGGTCCACGAAGTACCTCCACGTGGACGATCCTGATTGGACCACGTCGATGAACTCGTGGCTCCCGGCGGGGACCCTGCCGCCGGAGGCGGCGGAAGAGTCCCACGTGGTCTCGCAAACCGCCGCGTCGTGCCCCTTCTCTTTAAGAAACGCCACAACCCCTCGCCGGAAAACGGAAACGTTTCGCTCCCTCATAAACGCGAACATGTCAGCAGCCTCAGAAACATGCGCGAGAAGCTTATTCCTATAAGGATCAACATTGTTAGAAAGCGCAAAAATTACACTTCTCCACCGGAGCGAGTCCTCAACCGAGTCATCAAAGTCATCGGCCGAGTCCACTCGGTCCGAGTCGAACTCGTTAACCACCGAGTCATCACCAAAATTGCCGTCTTCTTCGAGGAAACCATGCACGAGATCAGAGAGGGAAAGGGCGTCGCCTTCGCCGTCGCCGTTGCCGGAATGTTCACTTCCGCAGCTGAAGGAACTGAGTTGCCGGTGATCGGCGCCAACGAGTCGAGCTCTGGCCTCATCGTCGAACGGGTCAGTGACTCGCTTCTTTCTTGCAAGACCCGTCATTGATTCGAAGTAAAAATGTTGAGTTTCTCAGAAAACTTTGATTGAAGGGTTGTTTGGATTTGAAGGTTGAGTCATGTCATGGGAAAATGGTGGTGCTTTTGAAGAAGAGGATAACGGAATTCTGTGAATTGAAAGAATTTTCTGCAGAATATTCGAAGAAACTAATTTCCATTACATGGTGAGCATTCTTATCCTATTTTGAGACATAATAGATGCTTGGCATATCCGAGGGAACATGGATCATGGATTATGGATTGTTTATTCGGGTCGGATCATGAATTATGACGTGTCAGAGTTTTGTTGCTCCACGTGTGTTTTACACGCGCAGCACGTGGAGAAGATTTCTTTCCACCTATCCACAAAAGATGACCAGAGCAGGGCACGTAGAACGATTGGGACTGGGTGTTAAGTGATGGTGTCGTTTTGGGGATAGGAGTTGCCGTTTAATGTAACGGGTTGAAGTGGAAGATTGTTACAGTGCTGAAAGGAGGGTCAAGAAAGGGGTTTTCATTTCATTGGTAGGTGAATCACACTCTTATAAAAAAGGTTTGGATTTTCTCAACCAGTCTTATCTTATAGACACATTTTATAGATAGCTTATATTTATTATAAAAATAAAAGAAAATATTATATAAAAATCAAAAGGTCACTTGATAAAAAAAAAATAACACTCCTATAATATGATAGCTGTTTTTCCCTATGAAAAAGTATCATTCATTGTAAAGGAATAATAAGGAAAGGTGTCAACTTTGAAGGCATTACTTTTTTCTCAAAAGGAATATGCCGTATGCCAATTATACCATAACTTTTTAACACTGCATGTACACATTAACGGTTCTGTAAAGGAGATACAAATAAAAAAATAAGGAATTATTATACTTATCATTACTTTATTCTTATTATTTTTTTAGTTATTCTTGGATTAATTTAAAATTAATAACAATCATTGATTTTAAATTATTCAACATAATTAGAGAGATGGTAAAAATATAAGTCTAAAACAATGGTAAGTATAATATTTTTCTAAAAAATAAGTATTATTTACTAAATTAAACCATATTTGTTTTTGATGAATTATTAATATAGTTTTTTGAAAAGATTATATTTACCACCGATAAATTTTATCATTTTTTTATAACCATTAGACAATGGTGACTAAAATATGACAGAAAGATAAAGTTATGAGAGAGAGTGGAGGAGATCATAGAAGAGAAATGACAATCTTGATTTAATTTGATCATATGGTTATAAAAATGTGGTGAGAAGCAGAAAACTTAACTGATGGTAAATATAACATCTTCTTAATTTTTTTTATTATTATCTAATCATGTATTATTAAACTATTAAAAAAGGTTTTATTGTCAAAATTATTATTTAAAAACTTAATATTTTAATGTATTTTAATGCATCATTAATAGGTGTGTAAATAGGCTGGGTTGGACTAGGCCTATGTAAAAAAATATTGTGTCTTACCTGGTCTGTTAGCCTGTATAGACCCCAAATTATCTGATCTATATTTAAAAAATAAAAACATTGGCCTTGGTCTGTTAGTCTGTTTAAGCCTATTAAACATTCAACAATTAAAAAAATAATTAAAATAATATTATTTTATTATTCAAAATTATTAAAATAATAATTTTATTTATTTTATTTAAAATAAATAATATAATATAGGCCAGTAAGCTTATAGGCTCGATATGTACAAAAAAGTCTATGTCCTGTTTTCTATATATATTTTTTTAAAAGCTTAGGTCTGTTCTATTTTAATATACCAAGTCTAGTCTAATATAGGCTTAGATAGCCTAGCCCATTTACACTCTATCATTAATATTTTAAAAAAGATGTTGTGACAAGGCATCAAATTTAAAATCATTAAAATAAATATCACCAATAAAAAAGATATTCATATTATAATATGATTAATACATGTTTTAGAAATATATTTTTTTAAAAGACAAACGTGTGTGTGAATCCTACTTGAGCTTCGCGCGTAATCTTATTGTACCTAAAGTAAGAGCTACGTTAAGAGGTTTTTTTGACCACTATAGCCTTTTTTTAATAATTAATTACCAAATTGACCCTGTTTATAAACTATTTCAAAAATTTAACCTCTTCAGAAAACATAACACCAATCTGCCCATGTTTGACCGTTGACCATGAAGCCTACCCGGGTACACCCCTCCCTACCCGGGTATATTCTGAAGTTTTTTACATGCCCGGGTACACCCCTCCCTACCCGGGTATATTTCTTTAATCTAGAAAAAGTTTGAATTATTTACCCGGGTAGGGAGTGGTGTACCCGGGTAAATAATTCAAAGTGTTGTAACTGGTCATTCCTTTGGGATTCTTCATAGCCAAGTCTCGTGTTGTTGCCATCTCCAACAGGGAAGATCAAGGGTCCTACATTACTGACAAAATTTTAACTGTTCTCTACTCTATATGCTTGTCATGCATATAGATAATGAGTGGTCCTATATGCTCTGGATTTTCTAGCTTGTTCTTTTGAGTTTGAAGCCTTTCTTTTAATGGTTTATGTAAATGAGGGATAGAAAAACAGAGGGCTTAAGTAGGAGACAAGAAAGAGGGCATGGTAGGTACCTCAGTCTCCATTCTGCCACCCACAAATATCATCATACTTTCACAAAAAGCTTGGTCTCTGATCTCTTCAACAGACCTCGCAAAGCTCTCTCTCCTCACCTCAGAGTTGATATAGGCACATAGCAATTGTGTATTCCATCAAAAATTCACTTCTCAGTTTTTAGATCTCGACCACAACTCAGTTTGCACAGATCTCAATAGCAAGGAATGCAAGCCCAATGCCAAATTGGCACTGATTGCAAGTGGTTCTTATTCTTCCATTATCCTCTAATTCAAATTAAGAATCCACACTTTTCAAGATTACAAGCAAGTATGAATTATTTACCCGGGTACACCACTCCCTACCCGAGTAAATAATTCAAACTTTTTCTAGATTCAAGAAATATACCCGGGTAGGGAGGGGTGTACCCGGGTATGTAAAAAACTTCAGAATATACTCGGGTAGGGAGGGGTGTACCCGGGTAGGCTTCATGGTCATCGGTCAAACAGGGGCAGATTGGTGTTATGTTTTCTGAAGAGGTTAAATTTTTGAAATAGTTTATAAACAGGGTCAATTTGGTAATTAATTATTAAAAAAAGGCTATAGTGGTCAAAAAGCCACGTTCAGACTTCAGATATTTTAAAGACCAGACTGAACAGGTGGATTCGATTGATGAACTGACGGGTCAACGATTCAAAAAATCCAAAAAAAATAGAGGATTAGAGAACCGATTGCATCATGGCATTGATCCAAAACCAATTAAAATTTAAAACCGAAATTTTTTTAATTTTAATTTAACAAAAAAATAATTCGAAAGACAATTAAATGGATAATGTACTACCCCTAATACATAGTATAATTTATAAAAATTTATAAAAAAAATTAGTTTGTAAATATAACCCTCTCCATTTCTAATTATCACCATTTCAATTCAAACCAGTAAACTGTAAATTAGTGCCTTTGTTAATTAAATGGAAAAAATATTTGTCCTTCTAATGGATATATAACGAGAGGATTCATTTTCATGTCATTTTAAGTGAAAGAAAGACACAACTTAATATTTTTTATTTAAAATTTAAATTTAAAAAAATCACTCATTTTTTCTTCCATAATTTTTATTGCTTGTATTTTTCTCACTTAAAATCACATAATCATATGTCTTTTAAAAGGACAAACACTAAACCGTAATTAAATTATCAATGCATTTTTCAAAATAATGCTCGGAAGAATAAACAATGTTCAATCCCAAAATGTGTGAGTTTAATTAGATAAAATCATGAAGATAATTAGAATTTTTTTTAAGATAAATTTTAGAAAAAGTAAAAATTATAAAAATAAAAATTAATAGCTTCTATTTTTTTTTTAAAAAAATATCTAATGAAGTAATTTTTCTTTTTTCTTTTTTAAGTTAAGTAATGGAGTTTTAGCTTATCGGGTCTCACCAGACTCGTAAGGCTCAGTAGTGCACAGAATCGAATTATAAAGATCCAAGCTTTGTAGTTGTGATCTATTCCATTGATTATTTACATAGTTTCACTTTCTTGGATCCAGGGAGCAAGGCTGGTTAAGGAAAATATCAAAGAGATTGAAAGGGATATTAAATTTGGCGTATCAAAGGGCAGTGTCCAAAGCCAATGAACTTATACTAGCTGCCTTTCTCTTTCCCTTTCAAGATAGCTGCGTAGGTGAAAGCAAAATTTGTCACAAGTATTCAATTAAAATAAGTGGTTTTTTTCGGTTTTTTATTTTTTTTAATTTTTGGTTAATTCAGTTTTCAGTTTTTCACTTTTTTGGTTGGGTCACTACATTTTGAATCGATTGATGAACACCACTAATTCTCATGCTGTTCACACTATTCATTGTTCGTAACTCTTGATGGAATAAGTTCTGAACTAATTGTTTATGCACATATGGGCCCGTTTGGATATTTTTTTTCTCTCCAAAAGCTATTTTTTTTCAAGAAAACAAAAAGCCATTCTCACATTATGTTCGTTTGGATGTCTGCTTTTAAAAAATGCAGAAGTCACAAAAAAGTCAAAAACCTACTTTTTTTAGAAGCTAAAAATTTTAACTTCTAAAAATAGCAGAAGTCAAAAGCTAACTATTTTTTTAAAAATTAAATATTTTTATAAAAATATAAATAGCTTTAACTTTTGTAAAAAAAAAACTTTTAAAAGAAAGAAGAGATAAAAGCTAGTTTTTCTGGAAGGCGAAACAAACGGGCTCATAGTGTGAATGTAGGGGGGATTTAATTTAACCATTTACATTAACCTTAGTCCCTTCATATAATGGGTTTATAGATTAGGTTTATAATGTCACATACATTAATCAGTGTTACACATATTCAAATCTAGATAAAAAGTAACTAAATTAAATGAGCTTATATAATTCACCCTCGTATGAATTATGACTTAATATGTTTTTATTGAAATGAGAAACACAAAATTGATTGTAATTGTTCTGGATGAATATCAGTATGGATTCTGTTTGGTTAATGTCTGCCTGATCTTAGGCACCTATCCTTGATATATATAGCTCTTGCTTAGGCAGTTACTTTAAACGTGGGTGGTTATTGATACTATCATGGAATCGTGGTAGGGCCTACCTTTGGTTCTGATACGTGGGATTTTACCCTGGTTAACTAACTAACCATCTGGGTAAGGGTCCTTCCGGGTTCAGTCAACCGTTATCCTTGCGGGTAATACCCATACGTATGAACCCGGAACATTAAGCCCCTAAGCTCGGAGTTTAATGACTATTTTACTCCGAGTTTAACTCTTAACTTATCTCCTACGTTTTCCCTTACTTTATCATATGTTTGTATCCTCATTAAATGATTTCTGCCTATTCAGCTTCTGATTGCCACTTGTCGTTTTCTTACTAACCTTGATCTTTGAAACGACTTT